GTGACCCAAAGGCTGCACTGCAAAAACCATCAAAAATAAGTAAAACATTTCCTAAATTAAGTGTATTTACGCTTATGTTTTGCAGATAAATAAGAAGATTTGCCAATGAAATTAGTATTTTTACTCCTAAAATAACATAATTAGATAATATGCACTTGAAATAGGTCAATATACTTGTTTTTTCTTATTTCAAATGTAAATTGTCTGGCTCCATTGGCAAAGTATCTCTCTTACCTCCTCAATTCAAGAAAAAAATTAATTTTATTTAAGCAAAAATTACTCATAGATTTCTATTTTTTGCAGTGTGCACTGAAAAAAAATGTAAGTCTGTCATTTTTTCTTAAAACAAGTGATTTTTTTTCTTGAATTGAGGCAAAAATTATTTTAAAAGTAAAAACACTAATTCCATTGGAAAATTATCTTATTTACCTGCTCAAATTAAGGGTAAATTTAGGAGGTATTTCCTTATTTCTGGATCGGTTTTGTAGTGTGGTTTGTGCGTATCGGCAAAACATGTAAAATGCCGATCCAGACTGCCGATCCAGTTTTAAAAAAAAAATCCGGTCCATATTTTCCAGTTTTGCCGATTGAAACGATCCATTCCACTATTTTGCGTCAGTGTTTCCCTGTTTTGCATTTTTATTAAAACTTACAGTAATACTTGCACCTTTAACTGTTTACGGTTTTACTGTTCACTGTGCAATTTCAGATTGCTTTTCATAATTTTGTCCAGTTTGTGTTTATCTCTTAATAAACAGGTAAGTTTGTTGTTACCAAGCATTGTGTTTTATTCAATCTCACCTAATTCAGCTGGCTAGATGTTATCAAGAGTACTAAAACCCTTTTCAACATGAGTCTTACAACTAAGGCTAAATACTTTAACTTAAATACATGCTCGGATAGGCTGGTATCGGCCAGTATCGGTATCGGATAAGAAGTCCAAAAACAATATCGGTATCGGATCGGAAGTGCAAAAACCTGGATCGGGACATCTCTAGTGTGGTTACTTTGAAAAGTACAGAGACGGCACGGCCAAACACTGTCACCTATGAGACATATCTTAGATGTTTTATTCTCTCATAGAGTCTCAGAACATTTCTGGACGTTATGGCTTACTGGGTTTATTATCAGCTTGTGTTTCAAGCTAATACAAACATATTTTTAAATAATCTAAAAATTAAAATACTTAGTCAATACTTAGTCTTAGCATATTTAGTCAAACAACTTATCTAAGGCCTGGATATTTTCTAATTAATGGCTTAGACTAATGCTTAGACTTTTAGTTTGACTTTGGACTAAAATGCCTGTTTTGGACACCAGAAATGCACGGACTGATTAGTGACTGACTAGTGACTGACTAGTGACTGACTTGTGACTGACTAGTGACTGATTAGTGACTGATTAGTGACTGATTAGTGACTGATTAGTGACTTCCAAATGATTTGGTTTCACATTTGCGTCTGAGTGACAATCAGGTTATGTTCACTTCAGGGATGTTATTGATCCCGACATGGTTTAAAGGTGGAAAGTATTTATTTTACAAAAGGCTTCCTTCGTCAGGGCAGGAAGCTGACATTTATTTTTACATTTATCATAAAAAACATATTGTGACACATTCCTTTAATTTCTTTTATTTTTCTTTGAGGTACGCTTCAAAAGCGAAAGGGGTAAAATACTAGAGCTTAACAAAGACGCATTCAAAAAGACTCCAGCTGATAGGAGTTGAGCAGAAAAGGGAAATTTGTCTTTAAACACGAAACAAAGAAGCTTTAATTTTTTTCAAAATGTTGGAAGTTTTGTGGAAAAAAATAAAAACATCGTCTTGAAACTTTAATCTTCTAATAATCCAAAGTTTATAACAGGTATAATAATGTGGCTTTAACTCACCTGTTAACGAATAACTACTAAGCCTGTCATGCTTGGGGAAATAGTGATTTACACTGCAAAAACAATCTAGAAATAAGTCAAAATGTCTTAAATAAAGGGCATTTACCCTTAATTTGAGCAGAAAAATAAGAGGATTTGCCACTGGAATGAGGATTTTTACTCTCAGAATAAGGAAATTAGATGATATACACTTGAAATAAGACAATGAAAAAGGGTTTTTCTTTTTTTAAATGTAAATTGTCTTGTTCCAATGGCAAATAGTTTCACTTACCTCCTCAATTCAACAAAAACCACACTTGTTTTAGGAAAAAATAACTTATCTAGAATAATATTGTTTTCCAGTGTAGAGATGTGGATAATGCACTGGAAACATCGAAATCTAGATGAGTCATTCTTTCTTAAAATAAGTGTATTTCTTGTTGGATTAAAGAGGTAAAAAATACTCATTCCATTGGCAAACTATCTCATTTACCTGCTCAAATTAAGGGTAAATACACTTAATTTAAGATATTTTTTACTTATTTCTAGATTTTTTTTTCCCCAGTGTGGTTTGACGATTTTTGTTTTAACTTAAACAACATTATTAGCATTATTTTATTTTTATCATAATACAATTTCCACAATTGCATCTATAATAGAGCTGAATATGTAAAAGTTATGAAGTGTGAAATTATTCCATAATTAGGTTTCTGACCAAACTGAACTTTTCCTGATCAAAAATTAAACAACAGATTGAAGCTATAGTCACTTAACAGAACTTAAATTTCAGTGTTTATTCACAACCTTCAACATTTTAAGACGTCAACAAACCATACACTTTATAAAAAACCCTCCTAAAGAAACGCACACAAAGGACGGTTGATTTTTTTTTTCTTTCCCTACTTTTTATCGGACTAAAAACTTGAGAAGCTATCGAAGGATTAAATTAATTTCTGTATACATTCTGTATTAAAGAAATTGATTTAACGAGATAAAAGGTAATCATTTTAAATTTGATCCCTTGCATACCCCTTACAGATGGAGTCCACCGGCGTACCTCAGTGAAGTCTAGAAGCACAAGATCTATATCCAGCCTTTCAGCAAAGATCCAGCTACATGGCTGCACATCTTATTTTGGAATTTGACCAATTAGATGAACCCTTGAACCATATATTACCTACTGTTAATTAAGTTGGGAAAAAAGTTAACAAGTCAAGATAAAAAGGTAAAAAAACAAATTGAAAAGTTAAAAAGTTAATAAGCCTAATTAACAATTATATTTAGGTTTATAAATGCAATAAAAAATGTGTTTCTTTCACTTTCTCATGAATTTCTTATAGAAGCACTTTTGTTATTTTTCTTAATATATTCGGGCAAGTTGCCGTTTCCAGTTATTACATTGACATTAATATTTGTCATCAAAAAATTCATATTTTTTTTAATGTTACAACATTTTTTTACACTTGTGAAAATAATATAAAAAATGGCGAAGGATCCCTCAGCAGAGCTGAATAATAAATGAAACTTCAGCATAGAGTCTTTTTCTCATTGCTCATTGCTTGTTGTATTCATTTAGAGTTCTCCAAAACAAAACCATAAAACCTAACAGGACCCTGTGTGTCTGGGTCCTGTTAGGTTTTATGGTCAGGTTTGCTTTATTTTTTACTTTTCTTGGTTTAAAAACTCATATTTGACAGATTGGTTAAAGTTTTTGACAACAGGAAGCAGTGAGGGAGCTTAATTTGATGTGTTCTGTCTTTTTCTAATTTATCAGGTTTTATTTTGTCTGTAATGATTCTATTTTTGATTAAAGTAAAGAAAATGCTTCATGTTTGTTGTATTGTGGTGTGAATGGAATGTAAAAACTTAAACATCGTTTCTGTAAATGGATTATATTCTGTTTTTTTTTTTTTTTTTTTACCCTTTCTAAACATGGTGCAGATTATCTCCGAATTTCTGGTGTCTGTGAAACTCTCGCTATCTCTGGATCATCCCAGTGTTATCGATGGCAGGAGCCCTGACAGCGTCAGCAACTAAACTGCATCAGAAACACTATCAAAGCAGCTTTTAACTTCCTGGTTTTATGGTGAACGTGCACTGCAAAAAGAGAAAATCTAAATAAGTAATTTTTTGTTAAAATAAGTGCATTTTTCTTGAATTGAGGAGGGAAGTAAGACACTGTCAGTGGAGCAAGACAATTTACATTTAAAAAAGAAAAAAAAAACAATAGCATTGTATTTTTTCAAGTCATATTATCTAATGATCTTATTCTAAGTGTAATAAACTAAAAACTAATTCCACACTGCAAAAAATCTAAATCTTGATAAGTCATTTTTTCTTAAAATAAGTGCATTTGTTCTTGAATTGAGGAGATAAAAGAGACATCTTGCCAATGGAAAAAGACAATTTAGATTTAAAATAAGAAAACACAATTGCATTCTCTTATCTCAAGTGAATATTATCTAATTATCTTATTTTAAGAGTAAAAATACTGATTCCATTGGCAAACTATCTCATTAACCTACTCAAATCAAGGGTAAATACACTTAATTTAAGAAATTTTTACTTATTTCTAGATCGTTTTTTCCAGTGCATTGGCAGATCATCTTATTTACCTGCTCATTTTAAGGGAAAATAAGCTTAATTTAAGACATTTTTCCTTATTTCTAGATTGTTTTTGCAGCGTGCACAAAGAGGTGAATTTACTGCACAGGTTTGTGTGGACATCTGGGTTCCCCGGTCACACAAAACTCCTCAACTCCATGAATTCTGTTCCGGCTTTTTACGAACCGTTGCCCCTAAAACACATCAAGTTGAAGAGTGAAATCTAACACCAGACCAGGTTATAACCTAACACCGAGTCAAGTTTGGATTTCGATTTTAACCTTCTTCTCCTGATGGAAAAGCAGCCGCCGAGCTCTGAATGTACCGGCTGACAATTCTTCTTTTCAAAGAAAATTTGCGAAGCCGTTTCTATCAAACTGATGAAATTTATTTAAGGATCTCTGTGTATTTTAGGAGATATTTGAAGGGTCTAAAGGTATTGGATCTTTGGTATCCACAGAGCCCTTCTTGTACCTGAACATCCTCCTGGAATAGTTTCAGGACAGAAAGACAATCTGGATTCTCCTTACCTGTGGGTCTGTTCCAGCAGGCTGATGGCACGTCACGCTCTCAGTCTTTCGCTTTCAATGGTGTTTTGAAAGTGTTGCTTTCTGCTCTTCTCGCTTTCTTATTCCTCTTTTCCTGCACGTCCTTTCATCTAAAGTCTCTAGATTTACTACTCTCCTTTGTGACTTCTCTCCTGTTTCCCCCCACAGTTCTGCCCTGATTTGGTCTCTTTTGTTCTTGCCTTGTTTCACTTTCCCCCCCGCTTGTAGTTTCAGGTCCTCTGTGGCCGATTCTCCCACCCTAGACCCCCTTTTCTTGTCCAGACCGTCTTATTCCCACTCCTTCGTTTCCTCCTTTATCTCCGGCTTAAAACAGAGTACCTTTCTCTGCTTTGGAGCTTTTGATGATGAAGACATACTGGGAGGTTTGAACTGGAGGCGGGACCAGCGCTGCAGAGGTTTAGGGAATGGAAAAGGTCAAATTATGCCATGGATGGACAGTTAAATGTGAACCAGACCCTCTGGTGAAGGCAGTAGTTATCATAATGGCCATGTGCTACTTTACATAAGAGCCAAGCTTTGCCTTAAAATAGTCTGAAAATCAATCACCCAGCAGATGTAAACGGACACATGTCATCTCAAGGCACTTTCCAGTTCACCAGATCAGCCAGATTGATTCAAAGTTTTCTAACTGAGGAAAACCAGTTGATTGCATCAACTCATTGACTGGAAGGCAATCTCTCACACTAAGCATGCTTGTAGCGACAGTGGAGAGGAAAAACTCCCTTTAACAGGAAGAAACCTCCAGCAGAACCAGGCTCAGTGTGAGCGGCCATCTGCTGAGGCCCACTGGGGTTCAAGGAGACATAAGCAGACATAGAAAAAGAAGCATAGATACAAAAGGCAACTGTCAACCAGCTCCACAGGCGGCCCCGTCCAGGAAACACACAGCCAGGCAGACGAGCTCCGAGCCAGCTCCCATGTCAGAGGTTGAAGAGAGCACATCCAGTTAGTCACAGTCAGAGAAACAGGACTACACTGAAAAACAGGCCAAGCTCCAACATCTACAAACAAAGGTGTTAATGGCAGCAGCACAGCTGATATTTCTCTCCAGGATGGAGTCACAGCCAAACAGGAACAGACCAGATGAAGCTACTATGAGAAAAAGCAGAGAGAGCAGAACGTTAGAGATTGAACTAACAGATTCTGCAGAGTGGGAGAATAGAGATAGAATGAAGTAGAATGATGAAAAAGGGGTCCCTATGTCCTCCAGCAGTCTAAGCCTATAGCAGCAGAACTATAGAGATCACCCAGTATGGTCAAAAGATCATAAAACTGGTCATTTTAAAGTTTTATGTTATACTAAGAGTAGTAAATTTATAGACCTGCCTTTTTTTTTGTCCTGGTTCACACGTTCCACTTTAAATGTACTACAGACTGAACAGCTTCTCAGAGTAGCAATGTTGTCCAAAGATGAGAGACAAATCCAGGAAGGAGAAATGTTTTACAAATGTCATAAATATCAGTTGAATAATTATCAGCATGTCTTTCAGTCTGTAGTTTTGACTTTTATTTAACAATTTTCAGCTATTTCCATTCTATTGTAGATTTACGCTGCAGTAAGAAGGTCTTGGGTTTGAATCCCGGCCTGTGTTTTTTCCGCCGTGGTTGTTTGCCCTGTGTCTCCTGACCTGTCAAGGCTGACAACACCACCCCCCACCCCAACCTCACCCCAAAAAAAACCCCACCCCAGCCCCTGCATATTTCAGTTTCTGTCTGCAGTTGGCCATATGATATTAACCATGAACCGTAATAAAGTTTAAATGTTTTGAGTTACAGATTTATCCAAAGTCTTCGCTTTAATTGAAGACATCTGAGTTATGTGACTAGAGCTACAATAAAGGCCTCACATAAAAAAAATCAAATAAAACAGAAACGTTGTTGTATTTAATTTTATTTGCAGGTCTGTCTGAATGATGCAGTGTTTCAGTGTCAGACTGTAAATCAAAGACCATAAACCCACCAAAAATTTTTTGAGTGGGAAGTGGCCAAAAAAGGGAAAACAAGACCCAGGTCAGGTCAAAGATTTAAACATTTGTGGTTTTTTAAATTTTTTACAGAGAAAAACTTCCCCCTGAAAAACCCCCACCTTTTTCCTGTGCAAAAGGAGGTACCCGGGCCCCAAACCTTTAAACGAAACTGTTTTTTGCCCAAAACCCCCTTTATTTTTTGCAAAAATATAAAATAAACCCGGGTGATGAGCACCCAAAACCCCAGCTTTTTTAAAAACTAAAAAATTTTTTTTCTTAAAAGGGGGGAAATTTAAAAAATTTGAAAAATAGAAAAAAAAAAAAAGACTAAAAAAAAGTGTTCGGGGAAATAAAAAAGGGGGAAAAATGCTTTTGCGGGAATAAAAAAAAAGCTAAAAATTCCCTTTAAAAAACCCCATATAAAAATGGTTAGGAATTTCATCAAAAAATTTAAAAAAACCTGCAGAAAAAAAATTTAAAAATCATTTTGAAAAATTTTGGGAAGGGTTTTGAATTTTTGGAAAGAAAAAATGGAGAAAAAAAAAACCATTTTAAAAATTTTGGCCCCACCCAAAAAAACCCATACTTAATATAAAAAAAAAGGGTTTCTTTAAATGGTGCACAGAAGGGGGGTTTTTAAAAAATAATGTCCCCCAAAGGGTTTTTCTGGGAAAAATTTAAAAAAAAAAAAATTTGAAGGGGGGGGCCCCCCTTTAATGCCCAGAAAATGTCAGAAAGTGTTAAAATTTTAAACAGCAAACAGAAAAGTTAATTCCGGGCCAAAAGGGAGAGGAATCCAAAGCAAAGTTCTAAAGGCCTAGGCGGGAAAAGTTTTAAAAAATCGCTGAATCGAAAAAAAAAATTAAAAAAAAAAAAATTTGAATTTTAAATTCGGGGGGTTTTTGAAAAAAAAAAAAGGGGAGTAGCTAAAAGGTGGGCAAAAAAATGTTGAGGAAGAGGGTTTTTTGGAAAAAGATAAAAAAATTTAAAAAATTTTGGGGAAAATTTTAAAGGTTTGGGCAAAAAAATTTAAAATTTATTTAAAATGTTGGTTGATCACATAAAAAAAACATGTCTCCTTAGGGGAATTAAAAAATCTAAAAACCTTTTGCAAGACTGACCAGGGCCCAAGCAGAGGAAGGACAGGAAAAAAAAGCTTAAAAAAGAATAGCAACAAACCATTTAAAAGGAGTAATTTATAAAAAAATTTATGAACCTCATTTTAACGAAGCCCCCTGTTGTTGTTGACCAAGAAACCTTTTTGGGGGGTTTTAGGCTGCATTTTAAAAGGTTGCAGTTTCCCTTTAAAATTACAGTGTAAATTTTTGGGAACTGATTAAAAAAATATGCACTGACGGGTGTCGTAAAACGGGCCCTTTGGTAGTGAAAATTTTTTGAAAAAATTGGTTGATTTTTTGGGTCATAGTTTAACGCCCCCAAATAGGTTTCAATGAAGGGTTTTTGTAAGAAAGAGGTTTTTTTTTGGGTAGGGGCCCTTTTTAGTCTTTTTTTTTTTCCGAAATTTCTATCATGGATGTTGTAAAGGGGAAGGGGGTCTTTTTGCCCGTTTTTGATAAGAAACCCTTTTCCCAAAAAATATAAAAACCCAATGGTTTTCCATGTTTTTTTGGGTAAAATAGATGCTGAAATTAGAGTTTTAAATGGGGGGGACTTTTTTTGGGAAAAAAATTTTGCTCGGGGGTATGTTTTAAAAAGGGTTTACCTGGGTTTTAATGAAACAAGGCTGGTAAAATTTTGGGGTTTATAATGCGGGGGCCTGTGCATAAAAAATTAAATTACACGAGTAAAAATACGGGAGGCTTTTTTTTTAAAGGGTTCACTAAAGCCCTTATTTTAAAAAAGGCCCTAAAAGGGGTTGTGTTTGGGGAAAAGGGGTTTAAAAAACCCACCCGGGGATACTTGATGACTTTTAATCGTTTAAAATCATTTTTTTTTCCCCTTGTTTTTTTAAAGGGCATTTGAAAAAAAGGGGAAAAGGGGAAAGGTTTTTTAATTTTAAAAATTTTTGTGGGGTCTTTTTTTAAAAACCCCCCTAGAGTTTCTTTTTTAAAAAAGTCTTTTTGAGTTTGGGGTTCTTTAATTTTTACCCCATATCCGGGGAAAAAAAAAATTTTAAATTTTTTAATGTGGGGGGGTTTTTTATTTTAAAGGGGTTTCCCCGGTTCTTTTTTTTGAAAGCCCTATGGGGGTTTTCGGGGTAAAGGGGGAAGGGCCCCTTTGGCCGGGGCCCCAATTTTTGGATCCCCCTTTCCAAAAGTTAAAATCAGGGGTTGTCCCCCTTCCATTGTTTAAAAATGTGCTGTTTAAAAGTGGTGGGGGGGTTTAAAAACCCCTTTTGAACCCACGGGTTTCCCTTTGGGGAATGACTTTTAACAAAGCCTGTCAGTGCCCGGAGAACGGGCACATCACTTTTTTCCTTTTTCCTCCAGGTTTTTTTCGAAAGGGGAATAGCAGCTTCGAAAAAAACGATTTAAAAAGAAAAACCCGAAAAAGGTATTTTAAAAAAATTCTTTCTGTTAAGGGGACAGTTATCCTTTCTCCCCCAATTGGGAAAAACCCGTTAATGGCTGTAGTCTTTCCACCCGCCTTAAAAGGGGAAGGGGGAAATAAAAAGGGTTTTTTAAAAATTTCCGTGGTTTAATTAAATAACATCCCAGCTAAAAGGGGTAAGCGAACCCTAAAAAAAGCAAAACTTTCCCCCGCCCAAACAGGGGTTGGCCAAAAAAAACCAAAAAAAAGGTTATTAAAAAAAAAATTTTTCCCCGTGACGTCCCCCAATTTTGGGCTAAAAACCGGGTTTGTAAACTTTCGTTTTTTCCCCCAAAATTTTTTGGTCTAGGGGGGTGGGGGGACGATGTAAAAAAATTTAAAAATGTAAAAAATCTTGTTTTTTTGGGGTTTGGGGCCCAGATTTTTTAAAACCCCCGAAAAAAACCCTTTTCCTAGCTAAACGATAAAAAATATGGGACACATTTTCCTTCAATTTTATTTGTTGGAAGGTCTGAGGAACAACCCCAAACAATGCTTTTGTTGCAAACGACAAAAGGGGTTCCCGAATGGGAGCGTTTAGGGAAAAAGTCTTTTTTTTTAAATTTTTTCAGTTCGGATTTTAAAGAGAGCCCCTAAAATTTGGTTTTTTTCTTTTGGGGGAAAAGTGGGGATTTCGGGCTGGGAAAAAACTGTGGGAAAAACTTTTAAATGCCAACAAAATGGGGTTACATTTTTGAATCCGGGAAAAAAAAACCCCTTTAATTTTTTGATGTAAAAAAAATTTTAGGTAGAGTAAAAAAAATGAGCGAGTGAGTTCAAGCTTTTTCGGCATAAGTGAAATTTTTTAAAAAAAAAACCCGTTTGGGAGTGGCACCCCTTGGGCAGCGAACATTCCTTTCCCATAGATTTCCCCCTTTAAAAAAT